ACCAAAGAGTATTTCTTAGACGCCCTGGTAAGCTTTGTCATGCGCCTAAGAATAAAACAATCAAGACCAGGGAATCTGAACGATGCTGTAAGGCAAGTTGTGGAACTAGATGCTTTCATAGGTGCAGAGCGCGCGAAGCACAGTCATGTTTTGCTCGAGAGATAGGCGGTGGAAAACTGTCAGTTGAAACCAACTCGGAAGCTCTAGAGGAAGTGACGAAATCCATGAAAGATATGCTTCTGCGTCTTCAGAAAAATGTTGACAAAATAAAGCATGGGCAGCAAAAGAAACAAAGACTTTGCTTCGTTATCATGATAATATCATCACGAAAGTTCAATCGGAATTCAATTAATACGACTATTAAAAAATGCTTTAACTGTGGAAAACCTGTGCACTTCAAGAGAAACTGTAGACTGCAAAATGCAGGGAAAAGGAGAGATAGTTCCAGAAGGTTTGGTTCTAGACCACTTGGAGGACTAAAGAAAAAGTGTTACTATAAAGATGGCACCACAAAACAATTAGCTTCAGAAAACAAGAGACCAATAAAGAAAGGTTGCATTGGAGTCAAAAGAAAAGTTAACGAACCAGCATCTACGTCATGGGTACTGCTAATGGCGTTTCGATTTCAACATTAGTATATACAGGAGCAACTGTTACTCTTCCATCACAAAAAGTATTTGAGGTCATAAACTGTGATAGGAAGATAGGGAAACAGACTTAAATATCTTGTCAGCTACAGGCAATCCTTCGAATATTTTGAGGAAGGCACTTATAAAATTTAAATTTGGGAAGAAAATCAACTACTAAACATCTTTAGTTGCGGACATTAATGTAAATGCGGTTTTAGGGATCGACTTCTTGCAGAATAACAAAGGTGTAATCAATCTACACGATAAGACACTTATTCTGGGAGATGAAACTCATTATTTGTTTCTTCAGAAACACTGTCTCTTCCTTCAAAGAAATAGTCACCACTGGGAAGGTAATTATTCCAGAAAACAAAGCATTGGGGACAGAATTTGGTGTTGTAGAACCCACTTATTCGTATTTAAAATCTGATGGGGATGGGTAGGAAATAACTGTTCCAATACGTTTGCTTAACCCAACTGAACGACATATCACAATACATTCATGCACCACAGTGGACAACTGGCACAGGTCGAAGAGATACTCAAGGGTGGACTAAATGAATCAGAATCCAGTGAGACTTTGTCTGATCACTTGAAATCCTTGTTTAAGAAAACAATAACAAATCACAGTAAAAAGCAAGCAAAGGTAGTGAAACAGCTTTTATGTAAATATGCACACATTTTTACAAAATCGGATAAAGATACGGAACGAACTTCTATGACAAAACATAGCATTAATACCGGAAGTCATAAGCCCAACAAAGAGGTTCCTACATGTAGGAGGCTCCCAGAACACATGAATGCGGAGGTGGATAAACATGTCAAAGAAATGTTCAAAAATAAAGTTATTTAACCTTCTAAGAGCTCTTTTGGTATCAAGAGTTGTCCTAGTAAAGAAAAAGGATGGATCTATGAGGTTTTGCATTGATTATAGGCGCCTTAATACCATTTCAGAGAAAGACGCCTATCCTATACCACGAATAGACGAAAGCCAAGATCAACTTGCGGGATGCAAATGGTCTTCTACTCTCAATCTACATTCAGGACACTGGCAAATAAAGATGGACGCAAAAGATAAAGCCAAGGCGACATTTGTCACTCGAAATGGCTTGTACCAATTCAATGTAATGCCATTCGGGCTATGTAATGCCCCGGCTACCTTCGAGGGGTTGATGGAGACTGTCTCAGCAGGTCTACAGTAGGACATCTGCCTCATTTACCTCGATGACAATATTTTCTACGCCAAGAATTTTGAAGTCATGTTCAAGAACGTATCCAAAGTGTTTAATAAAAGGGTTAAAGCTAAATGCAAAGAAATATACACTGTTTGCAAATAGTGTTGACTACTTCGGACATGTGGTGTCAAGTATTTCGACAGACCCAAAGAAAACAGAGGTAATCGAAACAAAGTCATCCGAGGGTAACAAGTCTGTGCAAGAAATGCAAGATCAAGACAAAGAAATAATTATTATGTCTTGTGAAATCATGGCTTGAAGCAAATACCAGGCCAGTTTTTGGAAATATTAGATGTAAAGGATATTTCTTTATATCTCTGAGTGACACAGATTAACATTGGTAAATGGAATTGTCTGTATGCGGTTGACTGTGTTGGAGAAAGACGAAGTAAAATTTCAACAAGTGATATCTCTCTTTGAGAGAAAAATATTTTAAAGCATTGTCATGAAAAAACAGCCGGACGTCTCGGGGTTGGAAAAACAGTAGCCAGAGTTTAGCAAAGATTTTACAACAGGATGTTAGACAGTATGTCACTGGATGTGACATATGTACAAGACGCAAAATAAAAAAAAAGTAAGAAAAAGGTTGCACCCATGCAGCTAGTGCCATCCGGAATGCAATGGATCGGATAGCAACAGACATCCTTGGAGAATTGCCTCTTACCGAGAATGGTAACAAATACACATGTACATTCTCGTAGTCTCTGACTATTTTACAAAATGGACAGAGGCATTTCCCATGCCAAATATGATATAAAAAACGGTGGCAAAAATTATTGTAGAAGAGGTTATTGCCAGGTATGGAACACCAAGATTAATTCATTCCGATCAAGGGCGAACTCTTTGGTGAGATGTGTAAGCTTCTTCACATTGAGAGAACACGCACTAATGACTACCATCCCCAGTTCAGATGGGATGGAAGAGCGATTCAATAGGACCCTAACATCAATGTTTAGTGTTTTTGTACAATAATGGTATTGTTATGCTATTGTTAAACATCTTTACCTCTGGATTTAATTTATGAAATGCCAGAGCCCCTGAAACAGGAGAGTCCAAAAAATGGCTTGGGTCCTACACGAAAGGCTAGAGAGAGCACAAAGTTTTGTCCGTCAAAATAATTGATCAATATTCATCAAAAAATTGAAACAGCCATGAATCGGCTAAAGAGGTATTATGACATGAGAATGGCATGGGAGAAATTTAAGCCTAGATTCTGTAGAAGAAATGGTAAATGACAGCAAACGCATTCGTAGAAAGCCCGAATGGTTAATCGATTATGAAATATTATATTAGAAGAATTGAGCTGCGACTGCTATTGTGTTTTTAGTATATAAATATATTAGTTTTTTATGTATGTCAAGATATATTGCATTGCCTTTAAACCTTAAGATATTTTTTAGTTGTAGTTATTGGATGTATGTACATGTATATTAAAAAAAATCGAAGACGAAAAAAATTTGTGTTGTTCAATTAATTTGAGGGACGCATATGTTTCGGAGGCGTGGGTAATGTAATAGAAAATCCCCTTGATGAAATTAATAATATGCAAATTAGTTATCAATCAAATGCTTCCTATTGTTCTAGCTATGGTACCTCAAACGTTGTAATAACGAAGACAAAGACGATGATTCAGCGTCTTTGGGTAAGACTATAAATAAAGGCGAGCACTGATTCTCTAGTTAGTTACTCTGCCGTCCGTTGATCAGTACAGATCGAGAGGAAAAAGGTAAGGAATTTATTGTGCCTCATTTGCGGGTCTCAAAATACTGCAGAGATACCATATTTGGGGTACATTATGTTCAAAACCTGTTAACTAGGGAGTGTTAGGAAACACTGCTCTGAGACTGGGAGCTTTGGAAGCTTTTATAACTTGTATCAGACAATGAATAGCTAACGCACGAGTTAGCTTAAGAACACTGATTTAAGAAAAATTTGATAATGATTGCTTTGTACATATTTACTGATCTAATTCCACATAAATCTTATTTAGTTTATTTTGACCAATCAATTACAGGCGTAGGTAACGTTAGGAAAATTATATATTTCTTTCTCCATGAATGGGGAACCCACAGAACATATTACAATAATTATAATTTCAAAAACTTATGACATTTAAGCAAGAAATAGTATTAAAAATCGTTCTGTCAACAGACACTCCAAATCGCACAGTTTCCAGGAAGTCGTGCATTTGACGTCATAGACTATCGCGATTCTCTCTTATAAGATTCAAGTTTCAGACTTAATAATAATGCATAAAATTGCCAGTATTATTATACCCCCGTTTGAAATGCGGGGTTATATAGTAATGGGGTTGTCCGTCCGTACGTCCATCTTTACGCTTTTGGGGTACCCATCTCATATGCAACTCCTCCCTTTACCGCTGAATAAAATTTAATGAGACTTTCCCATAATCTTTATTACACAGTTTATTATGCACCTCCTATTTTTGTTTTCATCGGACGTGTTATTTGGGATTTCCCAAGCAAAATATAGATTTGCCACAATTATACTCATGTGGGAACAGCGAGTCATTTTGTGAGCTCAGTGTTCACAGTACATCTACACCTCTAGTTTTCAATGAATTTTCCAAATTAGCTCTTCAGAAGGAATGAATTTATGGCAAAAAACCAAAACCTTATTTTTCTGCTAAAAGCCCTTTAACCTTGCTATTGTAGAAGGGCTTACAAAAAACAATCAGATTATGCCTATAGATATAGATAAGCCCTATGTGTAAGTTTTGTTTTTAAACATTAGTATTTTTTAAAGTCGCGAACTGATCCAATCGCTGACATTATCTAGATTCACTCAAGCGTAAAATATGGGTCTTGGGTAGCATCAAGAGCATTAATCCAGACTCAGCATCCATAGCTATATTATTTTTTAAACAAATCTTGTATTGATTACAATAAGTTATTGCAATAAGGAGGAACAAACCTATATTTAACTAGAGTCATTCAAGCATATAATTTAGGTCAGCTTCATTGATGATCTACGTTTGATGTGGTTATAGATCGGGAACGACCTTAACTCTAAATCTGATCTAGAGTCATGCAGAAGAGAGCGAGAGAATTCTAGTACTCTCCCTTGGGCTTTGCAAGGATACACTTGATATTTAAATAATTTGAAAAATTTCTACCTAATTTTGGAAGCACAAATGGAATTTCAAAGAAGTCTTCAAATCCCCGTAAAATATCGACGCCGACCTCAAGTGCAAATTCCGTTTTGTTGTATTCTTCGTTTGATGCATAGGTATTCATCTACAATTTTTAAAAATACCATATCAAGCATCCATTTTTCCCAGATTTGAAAATTTTGGCATTTCTTTATTATGACAATTTATTATATTGAATGCTTTTGCTTTGTAAACTCTTTTCAAAAGATTAAAACTATAATTAGTTTTTAATCTTCAAGTGAAAAGAAGTTTGCGATTTAAGAAGTGAAAAAAATGTGAAACCGATACCGTCCAGTTTGCAGTAACATTCGGCAGATACTTAAAATCACAGACGGCAAAGGCCAGAAGATAGGTAGGCATGACAACAGTCTCTGCAAAGACGTCTGCAATGAAACCGTCATCCCTGTAATCAAATCAAAACTATGTATCAAAACAATCGAATATGTTTTATCCCACTCCATCTCTCTATCCTTTCAGCAGGTTAGAAACACGATGTTTTGTCATGGTTGTCTGTGTGTCCCTCTGTTTGACATAAACCGAGACCAAGCTATAGCTATGGAACGCTTGCCCGTAAATAAGTCAAATTTAATTATCTTGTTGTATATAGATAAAAGTGTGTCGTGAACTTAATTCCACGTATCTAAAAAAAAAACAAACAAACAAACAAAACGAAAACTAAACTCATTGCATCAGAAGATTTTCAAATCCTATCCCGGTTAAAATTTTAGACCCCCCCCCCCAAACTGGGATAATAAAAACCCTATTTAGTAAGTTATTGTCAATGGGCACTATCCTAATTTCAGGGGCATATCTTATTGGTCAGAGTCACTGGCAATATGTTAAAATTCTGTCCGCTCAAAACTTAAAAATATTGCTTGCCCATAGCCTAAAGAAATACCACGGTTATAACACAAGGTCATATTTGTGAGATAACTTTAGATCCTCGGACAATTAGATGTCCAAATTTTGTCCTGCTTCATAATTTGGTTACAGTAAGTATGTATGTATTTTGTTAATTCACATAATTTAAAACAAACCAAATATAGATGATTTTAATTAGTTGAAATCTATAAATTTAATATAACAATAGTGTTAATAACTCTAGTATCGCAAAAAATAATCTAAAAAAAGAAACAATTTAAAGCATCATGGTAAATGCAAACAATAATCAGAAATATAAATAACACATAATACTAGTAATTCCCCATAATAAAAAATATTTTCATTTATTTATTTTTCCATCAAAAATAAATCAGTGTCAGATTGACAGATCAACGGTTTTGTTTCTTCATAAAATGAAATATAAGACAGATAAAAACGGCTTACGTGGAGTAGGAATCTATCAGAGGCATGTTGGAGAGGGAGATGTAGTCCCGATATTCTGGTGTATCATTCCGCCGTTCCAGCGTGATGTTGAATGTTGCTTTCAGGGCTGGTTCGTCAAAACAGGGAAAAGATTCTCTGGCGTGTGTTGCTTGGAATTGCGTAATAGCTAGATACCTGGGGGCAAAAATAATATAAATCACTGGAATGAACCTCTGCTGTCCAATCCTTTTAGGTGTAATTCATAATAAAATATTTAAATTAAATTAAAACAACCTTATATTTTATTTTGATCTCTGACCTTTGTGCGTTTAAATAGAGATAAAAATGCACCATTGTTTTTTAACTTTGTTCTTGTCAATCTTGTCTTAAAAAATATGTAACGAATATAACACTATCATTCCGTCAGTCCATAAATAGATCGACTTGTGCTCGGTCAATATGCTTTTCTGTGCAGTCTAAATATCTATGGATCAACCTCATGAAATAAATATTGTTATACCTTTAAAAGTTTGTTCCTGTATAAATAAATACTAATAAAAGTCTAACATTTCCAATATTTTACTGAGCGGGCATAAAAAAAAATCGATGTTCGACCGCGGAATGAGATATTGGACCTGTTGATGAGATGTTGGTCCGCTTACGCTTAATGGGCGGGGTCAGCTAAATTTCATTTGCATTCGTTGCTGTTCGGCATACATGTCAAAATAAATAAATAAATAAATAAAAGGTATAACAAAACATGTATTGACTGTGTTCTCGGGCAAAGTGCGTTTTGTCGACCCCATGTTGCCCTCGAACCCAGTCAATTAATGTATAATATTTTGAAATTAGAGATGTTTATTTTTTTCTTGGTGAAAGTGAGACACACTAGGTGTGTACGCAGTAATATGTTGGTGATACTAAAATGCATTCTCACTGAGTGGTACATAAACCACGTGAGATGATGAAAATTCAAATTAAAAAACTGCAAAATTGTTTTTGTATGAATTGTTTCAAATTTGCTCAAAATTCCTAGAATATACACGTAAACCACTTGAGATGAAATTTCAAATAAAAAAAATGTAAAGTTATTTCTGATTTGCGCAAAAATCTTAGAATATACAATATTTATTACATTTTCAACAGTGAAATTCTGAAAATTATTTATAAAAAAAAGAGACATTTTGTCAGAGTGTGAAAGAATATAAAATTGATATTTTGTCACAGTGTGAAAGAATATCAAATTGATATTCTGTCACAGTGGGGCAGAATATCAGAAGTGCGCCTCGAAATTTTCCTTCCCTTCATGAAGTATGTGTAATAAGTACTCCACGGTCTGTTATAAGATGTGGAGAGTAAATAAACCATCCTGACAGTGACTTAAACTTCCAAAGTTTCTCCAAATATGTTTTGAATTCCAATGTTTACAATATTTTCAATCTCATAATTGCAAAGTTATGACATCTCAACCGCTCAACTATTACATCACAGCCTATAACACTGTGTTACAAAGGGAGAGAGTCAAAGGGAAAATCAATGAAAATGTAATAACAGAAAATTCAATATTTTGTAATTGGATATGGAATTTATTTCACTTGTGACACATGATTTTTTATATTTTCACTTGTGCTTCGCACTCGTGAAAATATTAAAAAAAATCCTGTCCCATTCCTGAAATAAATTCCAAATCCAACTACAAAACATTGAATATCCTCTATCTTCAAAATCATGAAAGAAAATCCTTCATACATACTTGGTGGTGCCATTACGGTCAAACTGACTGTAATAAAGTCCAGACAAGTCGTCTGTTAGTTCTGCTGTGAAGCTCATTTCAAATGTGTATATTTGTCCCGCCATCAAATTTGGAGTCACGTGCACAATTAAGAAGTGTAGTTCCTTATTTTCAGTTACCATGGAAACAGTAACTAGGTTTCCATTCATATCATTAACTTTCACAGTAGAGTTGTCAAACGTCATTTTGTTGATATGGAGTGTGATATTCCCCGTTTCTTCCGTGCAGTTAATCCAGATTTTCACACGACCTGGTGTAGAAAAATCGGCGGGATTTTTGTTATACAAATCAGGACGTAATACAACATTGTAGTGAATCGGAAGAAGTGAGGTTGGTAAGCGGTAGTTTTTTGCCATTTCAGGAGATGGTGTTATTTCTGGTGTTGTCACTGACGTCATATCCGGAGAGTGTGTTGTCAATTCCATGGTCGTCTTTGTGCTCATTTCCGGAGAGTGTGTTGTTGGCACGGTACAATCAGGACCTTACAAAACGAGAAAAAAATGTTTCACTGATCAAAAATCATTAGCTAAAAGACATCTAAAAGGAATACCCTTACGTCTTTCAAGTTGTCGAAATATTGATAAACACATATTTTCTGCCTTTCAATGATAGTTTTAGACATTTCATACACAATTTTTGAAGAATTTCATAAGACCAGTTATTAAAAGTAAAACTGTTTTCACAAATCTTGTAAAATCCATTTCTTTCCAAACTTTATTTTTTTAATAACCTTTGTCCTTTACCTCTTTGATCCTTGTACATATATGCATTTATTTTAATATATTTTATTAAGTATTAGCATTCAGTGAAGCAACTACTGGTTTACTTGTCCACTATAAGATTGACATACTTGGGATAATGATAACATTCTAACGTCAATAACAGCATTAAGATTACTGTCTGTTAGGAACCTAGATATTCGAAACCTGTATTGAAAATAATTTTATTGAAAACATCTGTTTGTAAAAAAAAAAAAAATTAGAATAAACATATTCCGTTTTAGCTCGGTAGGAGATGACATTAAATTTAGATTCACTTTGTACGAGATCTTGATAAAACCTGTCACGATTGTTTCCTATATGTATGCTAATGTGTCAGATAAGGGCGCGGTCGGTGATGTTGGAGACAGTAAATTTTTATTTAGTGTTGAGAGCGATACAATACCACGGCTATAAATTGTGTAAGACGACTGACTGGGCTGAATTGAGCAGTTATAAAAATATTGACTTAGAATCTGGAGAGTCCTTCACACTACGTTACACAAGTCAAATAAATTTCTTTATATTCTTAGTAGGGTTTTTATCTTTAAAAGTCCCCTCTATATGTAGCATTTGGGTAAAATGTACAATCTGGAAGTCGAATTTACTGATAAATTGTAAAATAAAATGAAAGTAACCTTACTTCTTTAACATCCTTAATATTATTTATAGCAAAGATAATCTTACAAGAGCTGTATAGAAGCCAAACTTCTGCTTGGAAAAAAAAACATTATACAACTCTTTTGATATAGCATATATACTACATTGTAATAGGTATTACAATTGTAATATCTTGTGAAATGTTTTATTTTAATTCCCTTTTAGTAGTTTTACTTTAAAAATGTTCATTGATAAATTGTGAGTCCCATTTCTATAACATGAATGTCAAAATCTAATACATGTAGTATATTTTTCTCATTTTTTATTACACATTATTATTTTCCCCCTTTCCCTTGATCTGACTGTTTTTTGTTGTTGTTTTTTTGTTTTGTTTTTTTTTTGTTTTGTTTTTTTTTTTGTTTTTTGGTCTAGAAAAAATCAAAATGCGTGTCCAATTACATGTAATTAAATCAAGGAGACTCAAAGCTTTATCTGAAGCAGATGCAGTCTCTGAAACTGTGTCGGGATTTTTTTTTTTTACTTGAGTGATTTATGACAAGCATTTTCAGAAATATTTATGCAAGTGCAGACAAATCTCATGACCCCGGTGGATCCGCCCCTGAATTTGATTCTGAAGAGGATGTCTCCGTTTTTCTCAATGCGCAGTTTTAATTGTCATCAAGCGTGATCTTGAATGCGTTATGCGGACCGAATTGTGTTTGTTTTTCTTGTAAAAGCTCCGAAAAGATTTTGCCCATTTCGCAAATAAATCGATCCGTCAGCTGTTTTATTATCGTACTTAAGAAAGATCTATAAATTTTCTTAAACATTTTCCGTATCTGAGTTGATCTTCCTGTTTAATAATTACACAATTAATGTCATATTTATCACATGGGATTTCTGAAAGACTAGTCAAAAGTTAATCTAAATAAGATCAAGTAAAAGCAATACATGTTACAACTAACTAATCAATGATCTTATTTTATTTTAAGCATCAATGAAACGTGTAAGGTTCCAGGAAATGATATTAGAATTTATCCTTAAAAAAAATCAGGATTCAGTTTCTTTTTTTTCCAATATATGTTTCATTGATTTCACTTACAATATGAAAGATTTTTTTTTCCTATTTTAATTTGATTTTCTTCATTTTTTATGGCTTATGTCATTGCAGGAGAAATAGTCTGTAGTGAACTGCTCGATCACTCAAATATGGATTAATGTCAATAAATAGTAATCTTAGGACAGAAATCAGAAGTCAGAAAAACAGCAGCGAAATATATATTAAGTTAAAATAGTAATTGACATTAGAATTTTTTGTCCAGTATTTTTGCATGTACATATTCAAGTCTAAAGTAAAATGCATTATTTGTAGAACATCTTTAATGGTGCTGCAATTGTTCAAAATTTACTTTGCTGCTATATTCTATATTAAGTAAAAATTGTACTCACATGCTGGACACGTGGTTGTAGATTGGGGAGTCTGTGTGGTGGGGATACCGGGGGTGGTGCAATCCGGATTCCCCATCACGGGGGCCTGGGTAGCCCCACAGTTACAGTCATTTTGGTCGTTCGTTCTTGGTACTGCAAAAGTCACTATAACCCCCACCATGGCCGCCGTTGCCATGGCAAGGAACGTGAGAATGAATCCTGTTTTTGCGGATACATAACATCCAGATTTTCTGGAAGAGTTGGATGTGGTATAAAGGCCATCTTGGCTTGTTGCTAAAGAGTTTGGATCACTGATAGCGTCAAAAGACTGGAGTTTGTACGACATTTTGTATTATTTTCACCCGTCTTCTCCACCTATCCCGGGTAACTAACCGTACCGCGCCTCTGGGTCATTGACTCTCAATGACCAATAAAACCATGAAATATTTCCTCAACTACCTACCGGTATACGGCGTGTAATAAATATCTTTATGATGTGGTTTAAATATCCTCTATCGTGGAGCCGCAACCAAGACACATATTTGACGAAAAACAGTCTCACAAGTAACACTATCCGAGAAAGAGTGAATTAATTTTCGCCTTTTTATTGATTCATGTCAACTTCATTGAAATAATACTAACCAGTGTCCATGTTCGTTGCTGATAACATCTTTTCTTGCAGTGTTGGTCTATCTGAAGTAATGTCATTTTGTTAACGTTTAGATTCAATATGGCTACATTACAGTTTTATAAAACTCATTCAAATGCCATATGTAAAAATAGTAGTTACGTATAAAGCCCTTGGGTTTACGTCATTTTCTGGCAATTCAAAGAAAAAAAAATCAAAGTAGCCAACATTCAATGTGATTACTTTTCTTGTTTTGCTGTATCTGAAGTTATATAAACTCCCAAGATTACTTCGACACGAGTGAGCACTGAATAAATTCTTCCAATAAAAGAAATGAAAAAAAGACCGTTTCCACTGACAGCTTTCTAATCAATGGCTACAGACGTAAACAATGCGACATGTTGGTCCTAACTCAATCTTAGACAATCAAATATATAGACGATCCCCTGCTGCCTGTCAATTACTGGAGCGGAGGGGGAAGACCTTCTATATACCGGAAAAAGCAATCACAGAGTACTGCAACGACAACTCTCTCTCTCTCTCTCTCTCTCTCTCTCTCTCTCTCTCTCTCTCTCCGTGTTAGATATAAGTTCTTCAAACGTGCTGGAATACAAGAATTTGTTTACGTTTTGGTTTTAATCTTCTTAATTTTTTATCTAAAAAAAATCGTTTAAAGTTTTAGCTGATTTTTTCTTGTGCTTGAGAAACTCTTGTAGTGACATCCAGATTATCTCTAACCATGTCTTTTCTCTCGATGAAATGATTATCAGACAGCTGATCGCGACAAGATAACAGAAGCACGTCACCAATAAAGCCAAAAAAAGTTTCTTGAAATGTTTCTATTCATGTTTGCCTCACATTAGGTTACTAAGAAGGGAGGGTTTTAGATAAGATGAACACGCGCAAAGGTTTTTATTTCAAATTTTTCATATATTGTATTTTTAGAATAACATATTTCTTTGATGTAAATAATACCTAGCCATTCTAAGAGTCTAAGGTGTATCCTTTCCCGCTTTCTTCTTAGAAGTGTTTCTTACATCTAAAACATGAGCGACCTCTAGTGTATGGATTCTTCATTATTATTAATTTCTTTGCAAATGAACCACAAAGAAAGATGGTTTTACGGAGAGGCAGTATTTCACAGATGATATTTCGCTGCTTGTTCCTTTTCCTGATATTTTGTTACGTTAAAGACCCCTGTATCATTATCCACAGAATAAAAACATGAAGTTATCTTTTAACGTGCTGTAATATTGGCAAATCGTTCGTTGAACGAGAAAAAAAAACAATTATTGCATCAAGGGTTGCAATACCGTGTTTTGCTAGCCATTATATAAATACATTTGGGTCATTTAAAATCTTGAATACATTTGAATACTAGTGAAAGATTTTAAGTCTCGTAATGTAAGTAGATACATGTATATTGATTTTTTTGTTCAAATGTCTGTTTGTCTTCAAATTGGCAAAACGTGTGAAAATTACTACTAAACAGAGACATCATATTTGATCAGAAAGACAATGTTATGGAAATATTGAGATACGTCAAACTCCTCGGTCAATTAGGGCTCAGTCAACATTGGATGGATATATAAGCTAGCATAAAAATTCATTTATGAAATGTTAACTTTTATGACATTTTCAACAGTGAAATACTGTAAATTTATTATTGAATAAAAGTGATATTCTGTCACAGTGTGAAAGAATATCATAGTGTTATTCTGTCAGAGTGTGACAGAATATCAGAAGTGTGGCAAAACTCAAGATTGATTTTCTTTCCCTTCACGAAAAGTGTTGTAAAAAAAATACTCCCTGGTTATAAGACAAAGAGAGTAAATGAAACATCCTAACAAAGACTAAAACTGCCAAAGTTATTCCGAATTTCCAAATATTTTGTTGGAATCAATGTTTGCAATGTTTTCAATCTCACAATTGCTAAGCTGTAAATCTCAACCGCTCAACTATGGCGACACAACCTTTGAAACCGATTTTCAAAAAAAAGAGTCAAAAAGTAATCAAAGAAAGTGTAATAAACAGAAAATTCAATGTTTTAAGAAACAGAATTTTTTATCGAACTTCAAAACATCGGTAAGTTTGACCCTGTCACTGGTCAGTTTGATCCTGTCAATGGCCAGTTTGACCCTGTAATCCGTAGACTTTTTTTTTCCTCTGATCACCATGAATCTTTGTGGCGTGTATTAAAAGGATCAAGTCATTGTGTCCACAACATCACAATATTTGAACTTGATCTTTAACTTTGTGAACCTCAAAATGAACAGGTCTATTTCCTTGTCCTCTATATCAGTTTTATCATTTATTATGACATTGGAATACTTACAATGAGTAAACGCGCATAAATGAAATTTTTATGTACAATATATCAATTAAGTATAAAGTTTTAGCAGTACCTTTATCTATGTACAGTTAGTATTTGGTGCTAGATAAGAATTGAAATTGAGCATCAATGCCATTTTCTACTAAGCATTTACCAAATATCCATTATAAATCCTTGGTAATAATAGGAATTAAGCAACTGAAACTGATCATGTAGGAACTAACGATAAACAAAAGAAAACAATTCACATGCTGTTGCATGAAAGTGTGTGGTACCCAGCAGCTAATTAATGCAGATTATATTTGGCAGGTATGTACATTGTACATCTTTTAATTTTCAAGATAAGTTGGCATTTGGCACTTTTTTCTCTTTTAAACTTTCCTTATTTATGTAGTAATATTTCACTATCATATGCAAACTCTGTATATGTCTCCCAGCTGATTTAGTACGTAACAGAATGCTTCAAGTGCGTCAATCTTTAAATCGAGGCAGGCTACCGACAAATAAATTGATGTTATAGGGCTTTCAACAATCTCGTTTAAAGTCAGCATTTCTCAAATTATTCTATGGTCGTTATTATGACTTCGTTTGCAAATACAACCTATTGTGGGATCGTATTTTGTCTGACATTTTTCATGCCAATTGTTAATTAGACCATAGCTTATTCGCTAATTTTGACTACGGGTCAGTCTGTTTAACTTGATCATTAATTAATTTGAAAATATTCTCATAAAAATGCAGTACGATAAAATTAATTTAGTACGTCATCAAAGAAATCATTGATTGAGAGCCTAGCGCTTTATTATGAGAAACTATACATAGTTCTACATTACGCAACTGGTAAAGATGTTATGAGTTTATTTTTCCAGCAAGGCAAGGAGTTTTTTTTTCTTACACCCATAATGAACACAGTTGTGTGATAAAACACAACTATTTATCACAAATTTTAAGTACCAACTTTTGAATATGCAGACAAAGCTGTTACGTTGTGCTCTACATTTATTCTGTGCTGCGTTCTTCATAATCATTTCACTAAAAGTGATATAGGTTCAAATGTACTTTATGTGTGTAGAATCTGACCCAAATCTGTCATGATAAAAGATGATTAAAGATCGGCTTCTGGCTGTAGATAAAAAAAAATGAAACTTAAAAAAAAAACAAAAAAAATACCATTCATATATTTTTTATACCGATCCGACTAAAAAAAAACTAACGATCAATGTAATGTGCATTTCCATGTCAAACACGGATAAACATGTACATGTATTAGGTAAACATAAGAAGTTTACTCCTTGGGACTTTTACCCCTCCATCTTATATCCAATACTAGGCCATTTCAAGTCTGTTTTCCTATGTACATGTACGATAGCGTCCACCCAAAAATCAAAAACTTAAACATTTTACCAGGAAGAAAAACATGTAGATCAACAGAAAAAAAACCACACAGAATGATAACGTTAGCATTTATTATGATGTAGAGTTTGTTATGTTTTTTTTTCCTTTATATTGAAGCAAAAATAACTGATAGTCAATGCAAATCTCAATCTTTGACCAAAACATTAAAAGAATGGGAAATAAGAGTGAGATGTCGGTCGAACCCAATAGCAATATTTGTATGTACATTGTATATATGCGTGTGTTATTTATATACCTCAGAACCAATCCGTCCGTGGACGCTAGCAGTAGAAAAAAAGATGTGTTTGTGAAACACTGATGCCCCCGTATGGTAACTTCTAGCGAAGGTTAAACTTTCTCAAATGCAAATCAAATATGTTAGTACCCACAGTAAGGTCTTGTCCCGAGGAATACACCTGTGAAATAAAAAGAATCCTAGCAGCAGCCATTGAAATGATATAGAAAAGGTTAAAGTTTTTCAAAAGTAAGTCAAATATCAAGGTCAAGATTAAATGGTTAAAATGATAGTTGCCCAAGGAAAGCCTTCTCGCAAGAAATACACATGTAAAATATGAAAGCCCAAGCACCAACCGTTCAAAAGATATGGACAAGGTTAAAGTTTTTCAAAAATAGGTCATACTCCAAGATCAAAATGTCAAAGTTGTTGATATCCAAAGGAAGGTCTTATCACAAGGATTACATATGTGAAGTATTGAAGCCCTAGCACCAACTGCTCAAAAGTAATGGCCAAGGTTAAAGTTTTCCAAAAGTATGTCAAACTCCAAGGTCAAGGTCCATGGGCTATAATTGTTTATATCTAAAGGACGGTCTTGTCACAAGTAATACACATGTGAAGAATGAAAGCCCAAGCACCAACCGTTTAAAAGTTGTGACCAGGGTTAAAGTTTTTCAAAAGTAGGTCAAACCTCAAGATCAAAGTGTCAAGTTGTTGATATTCAAAAGAAGGTCTTGTCACAAGAATTACATATGTTAAGTATGAAAGCCCTAGCACCAACCGTTCATAAGTTATGGCCAAGGTAAAAGTTTTTCAAAAGTAGGTCAAACTCCTTGGTCAAGGTCAAAGGGTCAAAGTTGTTTTTATGCAAAGAAAGGTCTTGTCACAAGAATTACACATGTGAAGTATGAAAGCCCTAGCACTAACTGTTCAAAAGTTATGACCAAAGTTAAAGTTTTTCAAAAGAAGGTCAAACTCTTAGGTCAAGGTAGGGTCAAAGTTGTTGGTATACAAAGGAAGATCTTGTCACAAGGATTACACATGTGAAATATGAATGCCCTAGCACCAACTGTTCAAAAGATATGGCCAATGTTAAAGTTGGGTAAAATTTTGTGAAACTGGGTCAAACTCC